GAAGACAAAAATATGACATACAATCGTGCTTAATAAATGCCGTACTGCCGTCGTCTCACCACGCTCTTTCTCTCTCTCTCTCTCTCTCTCTCCCTTACATCGCCCATTCTTACAATTTACGGATACAGCGAGTACACGCTTGCGGATATAAATACTTGCGAATGCGACAACAGCTGCTAATTTTGCTAAATAAATTCTAACGTGGATCGATAGTTCATGCGAAGAATAGCTTTAGATATACTAATGCCGGGATGTCTACAGCGCCATGCCTGTCACCGTGTTCTATTAATCTCTCTCTCTCTCTCTCTTCCGATCGTAATAGCGAGTGTCGGGAAATAAAGACTCGCGTAGATGGAATCGAAGAAGGTAGCAAACGCAAAAGCGAAAGAAGAAACCGACTCGACGCGCGAGAAGAAACGGGAAGAATGAAAGCTCAACGAGCTGTTATTCAAAGTTCAGAATAGTAGCAATATATTTCTCGTAAGTATACTATGCTAGATAAATGTATGCTGTTAATATGCATCGTATTGCGCGTGCCGGTAATTGCGACTCTCCGCGTCTACGCTGAAGTTTAAGGATGCGTGTATAATCGAGCGGGATCGCGCGCGCGCGCGGTCTTCAAGGTATATTGCTTCCTGACATTTCCTGACCTTTCATCTATTCGTCGAAATAAAAAATAAGTACTATTTTCAGTCCCGCAATTCAACGTGAAACTCAAAATAAAAGAGTGTCTACATATTATTCTGTTTGACTTCGGAAGATATTCACTTGGAAACAAGTAGAAATCAAACTGCGCTTGCGACACGCGATTACCACATTTCGCAGTCATTCACGTTAGGAAACGAGTGCGAGGTAATGAGTGTTTCACGTCTAATATAGAACGGACGATAACGCAAGCAAAAGTTTTGTAAATGCAGTCGTAACGAAGGAAGACAAACGCGAGTTTACGCGAGATCAAGGAAAACACGCCCTTTCATCGTAAACGTAACGATAAAATATCTAGAATCGAAAGATAGAAGTGTTTTAATATGGTAAATATATAATAAAAATAATTATTTAAATAATTAAACAAAAACTTCTATCTCATCTTTCGCAAGAAAGAGTGATTGCACGAATGGAACGTCTAGAATCTAAAAATATTTTAATGTTTACAAACGAGCGTAAGAATAACCGTTCCAAATTACTTAATCAATTAAACTTATCTAACCTCTATCGATTAAATTAATGGAATGCGACCTTATCAAGCTCATAGCCACGTCTTGTTCTCATCTTCCACAATGACTTAGAAGGAAGAGTAACATCGAGTCGATCACGCGTTCGCCAACTCGCACACGAGAGACCGCTCGTCTCTTCTACGAAGCGCCTTACACCTAAACAGCAGCTCTCTATAATGCCACGAGTATACGATTAATTAATACTTCGATAACATCGGAAGTTGCGTGGTCACCGAAGTGAGATCGCCTTCCGCGCTACGCGTCTACGTATTAAATAGTGCCAATGATTATCGTTTGAAAGCGACGAGAATCGTCGGCAGGACTAGGAGGACTAGATCGTATCTACCGGAAGAGCTGCGTCGAAATCAGTTTTTTTTTTTTCGACCAGTGTGGAATCGCAACGGGACGATAATTTTGGAAGGACTCGGCTCTCGACCATTGGAAAAATACGAAATTGGAAAAATAATCTCTATCACCCTCGACACTACGACACCGCGTCTCATCAACACACTCGCTTCCGTGCCGGCGCACCGCCGAGGGAACGCGCACCTCGCGCACTGAGCGAAGGACCGCTCGCTCGCGCCGGCAATAAGCGTATCCTCGTGGCGTCGCAATCAGGACGTAGCGAGTCGACCGTAAACGGCGAACGGTTTACATGTGTGTCGGTGGGTTACTCTTTGTTCTGTTGCTACTACGCTTCGACTACGCTTCGACTACACTTGAGAATCTTTGCGATTATAACGAGGACGTATTGTAATGTCAAACAAGCTGCCGTGTATCGTGAAATCGCACTGAAAGCCTTATTTTCCGTTGGACCAAAAAAAAAAAAAAGATCGTGGAGGAAGGAGCAAATCAACGAAACGATGTATTTTAAGGAGGTTGGCGGACTAGTACCTTTGAGGCAGCACCTTTCCTATCCAAGTCGGGCTTGAGAAATTCTCGGGGACAGGATGGAATGTTTGGTTACGTTATTGGTTGTCAGTATATTCCTCACAGAGCAAATTAACACCTCGAAAGTAGACAACTCTAACGCAGCATAATCTTCCAAACAAACGCACAATTACACGAAGTCCGTCAGAGGACTTTGAAAAAGTATATACCTATAATTTTACGTTAATGTATAAAATTATTAAACTAGGGAATCACTAGGTAAGAGGAAGTTTTTGTATTAAATGATAATTATATCGCGACGTTCGTCCTTAAAGAATTAAGAAAAACATAATTCTCTAATTCATTCTCTAACTCTCCAACTAGTCTAACTGAATTTGGAAATTGTAAATAATATTGGACGACAAGAGAAAAAGAGTCACTCCCTTCTTTTTCATTTAACCATATCCTAAGCAAAGAGTCACAGGCGCATAACCATAATCAGCCGCTAAATTTCCCAGTTGCAACACCAGCATTATCATCGCTCGAATTTTTCCAATCACCCGCTTCTCTCTCACTCTCGCCAACGTCTGTCTGTTTAACTCGCAAATGGTCACGCTCGAATAGTGAATCATTTTTTTTTTTTCATTACAACGTGATATTTTGTTTCTGTCTTGCGCAACTCATATAGCTCGCGATCAACTTCACCATAATTTCAATTAATTCACTTTAGAAGCTTCACAATAGAATTCGATCGCGTCGAGGCAGCGCGATTTTTTAACTGATTTCGTTTGGTTTTACACAAGACGCGACCACTCACGAGTTAAGCATGCGTCCGTGTGTAATTATCACTGTGTCTCGAATAATCGGCTGCGTGCGATTATTCGTTTTGCTTAGTCGACATTCAAGGGAGGACCGGCGGACTCCGCTCGCTAGTTAGGGTATGTCAGCTGGTAGTAGTCTCCACCCGCGGAGTCCTCATCGGGGATTTGCAATTGCTTCACCCGTTTTACTAGCGCGCTAGAACACAGAATACTGTCGCTGAATTGTGGCGTCTCCTGTGGCGAATGCGGATATGTTCATTTCGTTAATTTTGTACAAGCAGAGAGAGAAAAAAAAGAAGGGAAAGACTACCGCGTATGTAGCATCTTCGATTTTCCTGTCTATATATATATATATCTTGAATGAAAAAAAAAAGAAACGGAACGAAAACGACCGACAAAAACAGACAATTACGAAATATTGCGTCGTGACGAAAGCTTCAAGGATGTCGATTGAAGACGAACGAAATCGAAGACTACAGAGAGTTGGAACATTCGAAAGGACAGGTTCAGCAGGAATCTCAAGATGTAACTTTTTATCGTTCGCCGAGAGAGCTACCGAGTAGAAAAAAAAAAAACTCGACGCAAAAGAGAGTAGGCTGTTATGCGCGTGTAGCCATGACGTTCTCGAAATTTACGACTCACGATAACACGGCTATTGTTGCAAGTATTATTGCACGGCACGATCGAAAAAATGTTGTCTCTAAGAGAACTTTACGCTCCCGATATAGAAGACATTTTAATATGTACAATTAGTATGTAGCGAGAAGGTGGAACTTTTTCAGGTGGAGAACGCGTGCGATCTTTCCGTGCGAAAGTGCAGTGACCGACTTTTCCGATCCTTCATTGTAGTTTAATATCGTTTCAGAATGTGGACTAAAATTGCATCACTATGTCTATTATTAATATGTGATGCAGGATGCAAAAAAATTCTTAAGAAATATTATACAACACTCTTCCTCTCTAAAGACTCTCGCTAAAACTATTGATCAAACTAAAAAAAAAGATAGTTATAACAGATAGAAATCCGGAATAATGGTGCGTACAAGAAAATTAATCGGCGTAGAAGATTAAGAGATAATATTAATATCGACATAAGATTAGATAACATATCTCGTCGTACATCTTTCGTCTGAAAAAATTGCGTTTTTCAAACTTGGAATAATGAAAATAAATTTTCATTCTTGCAAGTTTGAGAAATGCAATTTTTCTTCGAACGAAAGATATCGGTGATCTAAGAAATGGACCTGCACGTGATTCATTTCTCACACGTGGTATTTTAACGTTTAGTCTCCACCCTTGCAGAATTTTTCGTATACAAGAAATAAAATACAAAAAATTCAAAAGACTATGTGGACTATTGACCGAGGTCTATGTAAAAGTTTTTGGCTTATGGTTACGTGGACACAGAACAGCGGATACACATCAATTTAATGGTCGGATGACACATCCTTTGTCTCCTTCCCTCACATAATAGTCACATTTCATCGACTAACTATATTCACAGCATCGACCAGGTTTTCACTCTTCCTACACAGCTTACTGTCTCTAATTAAAGCTTCCTACAGTTTCTACATCCCACACTGCACTACATTTTCTATATAAGAATTCTGCTACAGATGCGTCAAAGTTAATTAAAATTGTGCATTCGGTTCTGTTCGCTTGATAATGCGTCATCAAGAAAGCAAGATGATTGATGCAAGTGCACACTGACATGTAGACTCATTCAAGATACAGAAATTGAATAACACAAGTGTTGCGATTAGAATGTCTAAGCGAAACACAACGAAACAGCGAGACACAACGAAAAAGTGTGACGAGAAGGGAAAAAATAAAATCATCGTCAAACAACTGACTTTTATCTACAAGAGGAAACGTAAAAGAAAAGGTCGACGTATACAGGAAGTAGTATTAAATATTCCTACATCCTGTTCGGAGGAGAGGAACACTTTTGCATAATCTACATATTATTTGCAAGTACAACGTCACGCGTTGTAAGTCCGATAACGCGGTAACGTTTCGTTAACCGAAGAAGCGTCGTGCATTACGGGATGTCACGAGCAAGCAGAGAGGAGTAGTGAAAAATGTGAATACACACCCGGATTCGGTGGTGGTCTGGTTGTTATTGTTACCCGGTGTGCTGTTGACGGAATTGTTGTTGGCGGAATTTGCCTCCTCCTGCATATGCGCGGTGCTCAGCAGCGAACTCCACTGCCTCATCACTTCTTCGCCCTGAGCCTCCAGCTCGGAAATTATAGTGGCGTCATCCAGCTCGTGCAACGCCGGATTGGAATTTAATCTGAAAAATGACGATGACGTGTAAACTTGATTCCGACGGAAAAAAAAGATTTATCTCTATTTATATTTTGAATTGTGAGCATATAATTCGCTTATTAAAAGCAACATCGTTTAGTGCTAACCGCTGTTGTTCCTCATACGAGCTCGCGTCGCTACCGTCGTAATCCAACATTAAATCATCCGAGGCAATGGACTCGCAGGGCGACAAAGTATCTACGCTTCCCGTTCGATGCAGTCGTCCGTGACGGGGACTGTTCAATATACCTTTCATGTGCGCACCATCTGTAAATAATAAATAGTGTCAGTGACAGAATTTATGTCAATTAAAAAATCTTCAAATATTTTAAACATATAATTATTGACGCAAGCTTGCTGCTCTCTTTAAACTAGCACTCTCTTATCAAGAGAGAGAGAGAGAGAGAGAGCTAGAAATCGAATGAAATGAATGAGAGCTCAGCGACTTGGATGCACTTGAGGAGGATTTCAAGAATAGCACGTGTACTCACTCATCTTAGAGCTCGTCTCGATCAGAGTGTGGCTATTCTCGGTTATTACTTGACCCCCCAAGGCGGACTGCACCTCGGCCCTCCCTCTTGAGTTGTTATCGTCAAAGATTAATCCAGGCTGATCCGCAATCTCATCGTCGAAGAACTCTCTACCCTCGGACAGGCTGAGCGAGTTAGAGGCGTTCGTCGGCGTGCCGGGACTGTCGTCCTCGAGGGTGTTGTCCGAACGCTCGTGCGGATGTTCCTCGTCCTTCTTCGAGGGCTTGCCGTCCGACTGAGTGATGCTGGCGGTGGGGCTGTCAAACAGACTGTCGACCGGTGAAGTCTCATCGTCTATGAGAGTTGTCGTGTTAGCAGCTGCGGCGGCGAATGCCGGATCCTCGATAGTGAGCAGTACCGAGCGCAGGGCGTTCTTCGGCGTCGCGCCGCTCTTCACAGAGACAGCGACGGCGGCGGCGCCGATTGCCGGCGCGTGCTGGGCAATGATCGAGTGAGAACGCTGGCATTCGTCGCTGGAGCTCAACGAGTACTCGTCCGCCATGGCCTCGCCGTGACCGTACTCGGGATCGTCTGAGCTAGGTGGGCTAAAGTCCGACTTGATGGACGGAATCTTCTCCGTGCGCGATCGATCTTTGTAAACCTTCTCCTCGCTCAGACAACCCTCGTCGTAGCCCTCCGAGGACGTGGTGGACATAGACGCGGTTGAGTCCGTGTAACGATTATCCTTGTTCATGATCCGCTGGTACTGCGTGGCTCGTTCTCGTACAAAGCCAGTGTTCAGACTGGCCGCGGCGCTTGCGAATGATTTTGGCAGCGGGATCACGGAGATCTCCGTGACCGTGCTGTCGTCATCGCGAACATCGCGGACATCGAAACTCTTGCCGTTCACGACCATACGCAGATTCCGAGGTCGGCCAACGCCGCGTCTTCTTAACGAGCTCTCGTCCGCGTAGTCCGCCGATCTGAACCTCTCATCCTCCGGACCGGCCGGCTGACTGCTGACGCCCGAGTCCTCAGTCATGGAGCCCTCCTTCGAACTGCCCGAGCCCTTCAACGTCGACGTGGATATCTTCCTGCTCTGGTTCGCCACCGTCTTGGCGATCTTGGAGTTCGAGTCGTTCACCCGCACGGCGTATTGCGGCAACGGCAGATGACTGGTGTGCAGAGTGTACCTGCTGATCGGTTCCGGAATGCTCGACACTCTTCTGTTCGCGTCCGCGTATTGCTGCATTGAATTGCCGCCGCTGTAAGCCGCGTTGTTCGCCGGCAATAAGCGAGACTTTGCCGGCGTCGTCGTGTTGCATAGATGTTGCTGCGGTGCAGCATGCACGACCCTGTTCGGTTGTTGCTTGACGAAGTAGTTGTCCTGTTGCGGTTGCTGTTGCTGGTGCTGCTGCAGTTTCTCTTGATTGTAGTGGCTGATGTTGTGGCTGTTGCAGATATCGCCGACCTTGTTCGTGAATCTCGGCTGCGGCTGCCGGTAGCCGAAGCGATTTGTCCTGACGCCGATGCCAGTCGAATCCTTCTTTGGCGGCGCCAGTCGCGGCGTCGAACGGCCGGACGACGAGTTATGAATCACGTGGTTACCGTCGTCGTCCATCGCCCGTCGCCGATCCTGCTCCGGGCCAGCTGATTTCGATCGTGGATGCAGCAGGCTCTTCTCGGTGCCGGCGGCGGCGTAGTTCGTTATCGGCATCGGGATGCCGCTGGTGGGTCGTCGCCGGAAGCCGAAAGACATGGCGGTGCCGCGCGTGTGCGACGAGCTGCGCTTCGAAGAGCCCCGTAAGTCGCCCTGAAATCAACATTTCCTTCGTTAAAAGAAAGTAGAGCGTGATAAAGACACAAAAAAAATTTAATGTCGCATTGTTGAAAATAAAATCGGCGTAAATCGCACATTAACCTCGTTGAATTATTAGTGTAAAATAATTCATTCAATTATTTCAAGACTTTGAATTGTAAAATTCAACGTTGAAATTATTTCGAGAAGCAAGATCATTTGTAGAAGTGCGAGAAATCGTTCCATCTATCACGACAAAGTTCTTATTCGCATGATCTTTCCACCCGTCTCGATTGCTATCGCGAACAAAGAGCGCTTTGCGTCAAGATGTAAGGGGTGGGACTATCATAGAACTTCTAGTCACGCATCAGTCGCGACGATTATACCCGCAGAGGGAGATCGATATCCCGTGCAATCAAATTTTAACAGCTGGCCTGAATCTTGCCACCGACTTCGTCGCACGATTTTAAGCCGTTTCACACGATTGCAGATTTTTATCTCTCGTCAATTTAATTTAATTCATTACTTTCCCCAAATCCGCATCCGGCAAAATGCGCACACGTACCGCACAGTCCGAGGGTTTGACCGACCAACTTTCTACGTGGCTCTCCCGGCTGCAACAATATTAATCGATATTCCTATACAGACGCACATTATATAACGACGCGGGACCGATAGCGCATCCTACCGCGGACAAAACTCCCCGTCCGAAACAATGTACACAATTGCGAGCACCGTTCATGCTGATCGGAGCCTGAAACCGACCAACGACGCAACAGCTTCGATCGGGCCGTGCACGGCCGTGCGACTTGCCGAGTCCGAGTGTCGTCTCGGGCCATCCATGCAGCTATACGGGGTAACCCGGTTTGAACTCCAGAAATAGAGTAACCGCGACGGCGATCCGACGAATCTGAGATTGTGCTCGCGCCTCGGGCGCGTCCGTGAAGACGCACGAAGCCTCAAATCATCGCGCTCGACACGTGAAAACCGAGAAGGCGATGCGGGTGTCGCGCGATTTCGCGACCGCAGCGAATCGACCGTGAAGACGTCGCTCAAATGATTGCGCGTATAGCACCAACATGTCTCTTGCACGTTTCGCCATGTAAAAAATACATAAAACTGTCGTGTAATAAATGTTACTAAAAATGACGAAATTTAAGAGGCATTAAAGATCATTATATATTTTTTATGATTAAAATACTTATCTTTCGTATTTTTAACTGTTTAGATTTGATATATTTTAATTAATTTTTAAAAATAAAAAAACTTTCTCGCGTCCATCATCACGCTTTTATCGAGAGATCAGAGATCATTTTGCATCCAAGTTAAAGTTTGAATTGACTATATCGATTTCAAACTGTTCTAAGATCTATCGTGCCACTTGACAAGTAACATTTTAATACTATTAACAACTATTTCACAAGATTGTCACACGCATAGTAAACACCTTCGTCGACTCGCGAGGGTCCTCAAAGAGGCGAATTCGGGGAAAGACGGAGCTCTATCGCAGATCTCGGGCAACCCTTACCGCAACGCCGGTGCCCTTCTCGTTCTCCAGCGAGTCGTCCTCGCATCTCGTGCTGCCGCACCGGTACTCCATGGTGCTGCTAGCGGGCCAATGTCACCCAGCCGGTCGTCGATCGATCTCTCTCACGGGGATTGACGGCCGCCCACCTCGTCGGCGTTCACGTCGTCATGTTCCGAATATATATTTTTTTAACCGGCGCGGAAAGAGCGTTGTTCTCGACGGTAGAGAAAGAGCCTCTTCTCCGTGACCCGTCACATCGTAAGGATGGCATACGACGGTCTCGAGGAAACGCGCGGCGGCGCACCGACGTTTGTCGCCGTCGTCGTCGTCGTCGTCGTCGTCGTCGACACCCCCGCGTCTTCCGTTCCTCGCGCTCGTTCTCGCTCGCACCCCCGCGACTTCGACCACGTCGAGGCTTGTCCGAGGCTCGGGAAGTGCGAAGGAAAGCGAACGCGGGATTGATCCGGCCGTCTGCGCCGGCGTCACGACGCCGCCGCACCGCCGACGCCGACGGCGAGGGGCTGATTCTGCGGATGCGCCGGGGTTCCTCCCGATATACAGGGTGTCTTAACGCAGAGATGCGAGAGTTACATTCAGTTCATTTAATTCAATTTGCCTTCAGACTTGATTATATTATTTTAATTTGAAAAGAAATTGAAGATCATCTATTTTTTCTTGTTCAATGCGCTCGAAATCTTGAAGAAAACTTGAATTTCAAGTCAAGTGCTGTAGAAACGACATTCCGCAGCGAGACTTTCCTTCGGGGTTTCACTGAAGAATCGATTTCACGTCACGGAGAAAAACATCCCTCCTACTTTTATTTTCAGTGCACACCTTGTATACGACTCTGATTCATCGTGAACGAGTACATTTACATGTCTACGTGTAGTGCACAGTTATCAAATAGAAGCGACTTCGAAGAATAATGCGAAGCTGACGGAGCAGAAACGACCGCGTGCTATCGAAACGCTCCGAAAGAATCGTGAAGATATCGCTTCAAATTAATGAGTGAAAAGATAATTATGCAATATTTCAATTTAAATTAATTATAAAAATAAAAATTAATAGAAAATATAATTTAATAATACAAGTTTCCTGTAAAGTACGTTTCGATAAAAGTCTATTTATTTTCCATCCATCCAGCATATTTTTTATACTTATTCTTTCTTTTTTTACACGGAAAAAAAAAGATATTCTTATTTTAAAAATATCTTTATTTTTAACATGAAAATCTTGAAATGAGATTATATTGCTTTAAACGAAGAAAACTGGCTTGAATGAAGTCATTTTATATAGTTCAACCAAGAAAAAAATATTCTTATTATTTAAGAATAATTTTCTTGAATGGAAAAGAAAAAATGTTGGATAGAAAATAATATATTTTTCAAATAAAAGATTATAATTTTCTTAGAGTAAAATTAAATATTATATTCTTCAAGTGATCATTATAAAATGGAAATATATATATAAGACTATAGTATTGTTAAAATTTAAGATTATTAAATTCTTATCGGAAGATTATAAATTGTTGCGTATATACGAAACAATGAACGCGTTAATTTGAGTATATAAGCTTTGATTTGACACTACTTTTTTTTCCGTGTAGTTTTACAAAATCAAGATACAAGATCTTTATACAAGATCTTTTATATAAATACATTTCCATACAAAATTTCTATGTAAGATTTTACATAACTATATTTCTATATAAAATGCATTTCTATATAAATTTTATATAAATGCAATTCTATATAAAATGCATCATGATTTATGACACTAATTGTCAGCAGAAATCGACTTCAGAGTTTGCGATAAGATAATGATTAGATGAAACTGACGCGGAACGGAGCGATTTCTTTCGCGCGAACTGCGTCTTATCAAAATGCTTCATCGTGAAAACATTATTCAAGCGACGGCGAGTTAACGACGTGAATCACTGAATTAAAAATGACGTTAACACAAGCTTGATAATTTGATAATGTAAGAATCTTATTAAGTATATTGGTATGTAAATTACCGATTTTATTCTACAAGAGATTCTGTGGAAAAACAAAAATCTGCTCTTATCAGTATAATAAAAGATAAGATTAAAAAAAATAGTATTTCCTGATACTGGTAAAGACTCGATGCAACATCTTAATACCGTTCTCGTTTTCCTCGACTGACTGCGTAATCGACAGACCTTGCAGATAAGGCGAATAGACTTTTGCGAAGCACCGTGCGATAACGTTGCAAATAAAAGACGTTTCGCAAAAAAGAAAAAAAAAAAGAACTCGAGAGCCAAAGCGATCGAACTGAATAAGGAGCGAACAACTTCTTTAGCCGCGCGATTACTCTCGCCATTCATCGAAGTTTTCACACACAGAATCGTGCTATGCGCAACCGTGTCTGCAAAAGAAAGCCGCTTCCGCTCGAGACGTATATCTCGATGCGGAAGAAATCTGATTTCCAGCCGCTAACGAGAAGGTATCAAGGGAACAATGGAAGAAGCGGTGCTCGATTGGCAGCAAGCGCGATCGCCGTGCGAATCGGCACGGTTGAGCCGTTGTGAAAAGAGAAGACAATGGGCAGAAAGAGAGAAAGAGAGAGAGAGAAAGAGAAAGACGGCGGAGGGCCGCGCGAGAGCGTGTTACGGCGATTTCTCCTTCTTCGCACCTGAACCGTGCGCGGGTTTTCAGCTTCGCGGTTTCCGGCGTTGGCGAACTGACACCGCGTGACGACGAACAATAGCAAACACGTCGACCAAAACAAAATCGTCAACGCGAATTCATGTCGCCGAATAAACGCAAAAGTTCCCGTCGAAGCGCGATACCTCGCACCGGAAAGAAACTTGACGCCGCGGCTCGCAAAAAACGCGGATTAATGAATAAAACATTAACGAACCGATCTACATGCGTTGATGTTTATCTCGAAGGAAGCGTGTGTTGGAATTACAAGCTGAACGTTGAAATTTTCGCCAAATGAGTGTAGCCTCGTTAAGAGATATAAGAGCTATAAGTCAACTTTTACGTTCGCGGACTAATTACTCTCTTAAAGCTGTGTATTTTTGTAAATGAGTAGCTTAATGAGCTTATCCATTAATTATAATTGTAATTGTAATATTTCTCTACTTTAGTGCGTGACAGAATAATAGTCATCGTAAAAATGAAATTATCGAAATGGTCAAAAAGTGTTTCCGTTTGTTTAAAGAAATTTTAAGATAAGTTTTATCTGTAAAATGAAAATTTTACTAAACAATGTATTGCCTTTTTTTAGTTTTTGATTTCTATTAAAAATTATTTATGCAATTTATTTAAACCATCTATTTTACTCAAGTTATCAAGTTGAAAAAGATAAGAAAACTTTTTGGTCTCAATAAAAGCTGGATTTTCACTATACGAAACGTCAAATTTTTTATATGCTTCTCAAATAAAACATTTTATTTTGTACAACGCGCATTGCTCCAATTGAAATTCGTATAAAAATATTTGACGAGACATTTCAAATAGTGCAAATCCGACTTTGTGTGTATTGCATCGCGTCCTGACGATGATAATTAATTCATTGCGATCCGCGCGCATGAGAAAGTTAACGCGCGCCGCGTTGAAAGTGGAGATCGATACACTTTACACGATACTCAATATTCAATGGGCAATATAAAAAACCCTTCTTACACTAATCGTTAGAGAAAGCATTCGAGCGTGCAAGCGATTACGCGACTTTCTTACACGTCGTACATCGAAAGTGCAGATTTCAATTCGCAAACAATCGCCGATTGAAACAAAGAATCAACAATGATAATTAGAACGTTCACTATCGTTAAACAAAGAGATTAATTTAAAATTTAATGCAAAAGTGAGCTATGAGGTCAAATGCTCGAGCTACAGTCCTGATTTCTATATATTGACAAACGTTTCGCGATCAACAGATTTGACTCTTCAGTGTTTATACAATTCACGTCTTTATATATGATATTATCGAGGTTCCTATTCTCCCAATTAATCTAATAATTAAACACATTCTCCGCAATTAATAAGTTGTCAATATATAGAAATAAAGACGCTATTTTTGAATTAGATTTTATATTTGCCGAAGGCTCATAATTATTTTTGTTGGATAAATTCAACCATCAATCGTGTAAAACAAAATTAATACTGATATTTTTGATCTAGATATTTTCGACGTCTGTTAAACTGTCGAAAAACTTTCTGCTGCAGCTTGAAATATTTTTCGTCTGCGAATGTAAAAAGTTCTGGAAAGATGGAATTTCAAGTTGCAAGTTGCAAGTTGTAAGATGTGGACATAGTGAAAGATAGCAGAAGAAAAATACACAATGTCTACTCAAATCTTGGAAAAAATTCTCTAATGTTCCAAACACTTTCGATTAAATTAAAGATGTTTGCAAATTCAGACTAAATAAAGCAAAATCTTCGAAAAGACATTTTTGAGAGAAATTCCTCGAAAACACTTCTTTGATTTCTTCAGGCAGAAAAATTATTCTCAAGATCTTCCAGATATTTACGTAATATATAGACAGCCTGACATATAAATAAAGATATATCTATATATGAAAATGTCACTTCTTCGAGTCGGCCTTAAAAGATGACGGAAAATAACATAATTTAACATAATTGAGGTAAAAACGGCGTCCAAGCGCAATATTCGAATTCACGCATCGTCGATCGTGCATTTTTGCGGGACGAAACGACACAATGTTGCCTTGTCAGACGCGACAGATGCGCGCAAGTGATATATCCGCGGGTTGTGGCGATACCGTTGCAGGTATAGAATCATGGTTGAGAAAGGGCATTGAACTTCAACGTGGCCTTCGGCTAACCGCCCGTGCAATCAGCTGGATTTTCCGCTGCGTACTGTACATACATCGGTCGCGACATAACGTGCATAGTATAGAGACACGGTCTCTCCGGTGGATATTGCGTAAATGCAATAACAATAGAAGTCAGGGACAAAGTTGAGTGAACGCGATTCGCGATGCTAACAAATAAAACCCATGGCAGACCTTCAAGTTCAACGCCCATCGATGCCGAGAACCGAGTAGAACAGCGTTTTTACACGTAGCTCCGCAAGTCGTGACAGAGCATGACTAGAATAAATTGTATTATCCGAAAAAATTCATTCTAATTTTCAAAAAGCGTAGCCTTAGTTTCACGATTTTCTACAACTTCTTTCACACAAGTTGAAGATTTTATCTTCCCAGATTTGTAGGGGAAAGATATATGATATTTCAAGATACCGCAAAAATTTTCTGCAGAATCTAATACATTGCAACAAGGCTTACCTGTTTTTGGGCCTTATCCATAATACGGTACGAGGGCGAATTATGATGACCGGATGCTGCGACGACGGCGCCCGCCTTACGAGACACGCATTGCCCCATATAGATCCGCCAACCTTATCCCAGCAGCGAATGCTATAAAGATACAAATTCGTTGTATTATACGAATCCATAAATTTATATTAGAGTGCTACCTCTACTTCCATTAAAGCGATTTCGAAAAGACAGAATGAAGTTGCAGATCGAGATACATCCTTAGCGGACAAATTAGTGAAAAAAATTTCATTTCTATGTTATTATACGCCTGCCGTCGACACGTACGGCGGAAGGAGCTAAACTATGCGTGTAATAGTCATCATCCTGATTGCACACCTGCCTTCCCCATTCACCTTCGTTAATATTTCACTTCTTCGCAGTCGACTGACCGCGCGAATAATGTATCTCTATTCAATTCATCATTGAGTGAAAAGAGCAACGTAAAGCCGTAGGAATTCATAGCTGAGAAATATGCATCAAGGCGTCAGGGAGAAAAAAAAAAGAGCACCATCACCGGTATGTAAATACAAGGGGAAAAGTTTCGCGCTAATCAATACGTGAGGTTTATTCCAAGTCGAAAAGAGAAAATGCGCAATTTAACGAAGCATCAGTCGTGCATCGTGGTGCACTGATCTATGATTACCTTTCGCATTACGGCACACACCGGTTCTCAATCCGTGGGTCACGAACCGAACCCGCGTTCCCATTAGATACGCCAGGAGCAACGACGCGATATACAGTGTCCCAAAAAAAAAAGACATTAACAAGTAGGAGCTTCGAGGAAAGTGTCTCAAAAAAAAAACTTGAAGCACGTTTTGCAAAATACTCGAATTTCTTTCGAGCACGAAAGATTTCTCCTATTTAAATATACAATTATGTTCTTGTTTTGTTGATATTGATTCGTTAATTTGTAACTCCGATTTTATTAGACTATCAGGTAAATTTTGCAATTGTTATCTTTAAATTCTGAGATTAGAGAGAGAGAGAGAGAGAGACATCTTATAATTGATTGAAATGTTTGTAAATATTTCTAAATACAATCAACACAAACATCTTTGCCTCCAAAATCCTCTTGTGTTTTTATTTTAAAAATAAAAGTATGTATATTAAAAATAGAAAAAAAATGTTTAATGATATAGAAAATCCGAAAACAAATCTAAGAAAAAAATTCTAATTACCCCAAAAGATTATTAAAAATATAGCGGCAAGAAAAATCTATATATGCAAAGAACGTTGTTAAATTTGGAAAACGGGACGCAGATTTAAAGGTCCGAATTGAGCGCCGTTCTTTAAAATTCGGCACAGATCGAACGGAGATGGATATTGATCTACGAAACCTGATAGCAGTGACTCACTCGCGTATTCAATCTTTCGCAAGATGAATACCAATATGTGATATATGTTCAATACCTCAAATAGCTTTATTCAATGGAAAAATATTCACGCAATTCGTTATCTCTGTGCAACTTCTATCGAACTCTATGCGCGTGAATAATTCCACGGAATAACAGATATATGCCTAACCCGACCACTTGAAAAAAAAAACGCTAATAGTAAAAGCGCTCGAAAATTTGGATTCTAAATGCATCGCATAGATGGTGAAAGGTTGACCGGCCTGTTACGATCTCCAAATGTAGGACGATAAGTGGCACTGGCCCAATTTATCGTGTAGAGAGTATTGTGGAAATGTCTGTTCACGTTTCACGCAATAAACACTCACAAGCGTTACACAAAGAACGATAATTTCAAAATTTTAAAAATTTTAGGACCCAAGATAGAGAGCGGAATTCACAGTTGTTTCTCAAAAAATACGAACTACTTACATTTATATTATGCGCATATATTTACATACATATATATATAAAACTCATTTTTATTCACCAACAAAACGATTATGAATACCGCTCGCGAAGACTTCAAAAAAAAAATTCAAAACCGAGTATGAAATATAATCTGACAACACAATGGGTCACCCTGTAGTGTTTCATCGCTCGCCTGTTTTATCTTACGGAAACTGTGTGATTTATGCAGTCGTTTTAATACAGATTCGAGCTGATTTATGAGCGACTGGTAATTGTGTCCGCGTCGGCCGGTGCTTCTCGCGCTGCGCCATAAATGCATGGAATCTGACCTTTCTTGCCGCACGGCACTCGTGCGAAATCTCCGCTTACCGTTAGCACGGCATCGCAAAGTACCAGATATATATATAGCCGTACTTTTCACAGGTGTAATTTTCTAATCGGCCGGTCTCTATGCAGCATCGCGTCATTTCATTATGTCGTTATGTTCTCACGAGCAAAACAATCGGAGTTCGCCGAGATAGAAAAGTTGGAGAAACTTCCGCGATGAACAAACGGAATGATAATTATCGCGAGCCGTTTCTTTCGTTTGTTTGTCGATTTTTTCAATTTCCGGACGATTAAATGATTTGATTTATACATTCGATGAAACAAACATACAAATCATCATCCGAATTAAATTTCGGATTCTAAAATCTTCGAATATATGTAACATTTTTTTCGGAGCCCTTCGGAACCTTTAGACAACCCTTATATCTTTGAGTTCCTAAATTAATGATTCTTCGATTTCACAAATTTCTGGAGTTTTAAATCTCTTTCTTCGGATTCTTTTAAATCTTAATTATTTGATTGCAAATTGACGGAATGTAATTTTCCGCAAAGATTGAGAGTAAAAGGAGCAGAAGAGGAAGGAATGCGAGAAGAGATAGAGAGCGAGATGTGGTTAATAGCGCGCGAGATAGTTGCGAGGGATTAACGTGCATGCACCTTTCCCCATTAAGATACGGCGCCTGCTGCAAAATTCTGAATGGATATTACCGCATTTTCGCGATTCCGTACTCACAGAAACGAAAATCCCTGCGGTTTTATGCCTGGCCTGCCGGAGAGTAATCTCGAATACACTGGAAAAAAATCAAGTCGTCCACTTTCATGCGGGAGATTCAGAACTAGCTGTTTTTCTTCATTCGGATGCGCTTCGACGAAGAAACGTTATTATCAAACAACTAATTAAAAAAATGTCACGAACAAATCCAATAAAAGAAACAAAGTCTACACATTACTGCGAAGTTTGAATGATATTTCTCTGAATACAAAGTGCGAAATGACATCATTGCTAGAGAACGTACGCATCTCATTTTCACCGTTTCTATTAATTAATATCTTTTAGATTAAGGTGCGTATGACGCTCCACGCTCGTGACGTAACGCTGTTTGATGTCACTCACATACGTTAAGTTTGTTCACGAGATGCAACACGAATGGTCGTTTTCGAAATTACACATTGAGATAAATTTCAATTCGCGTAATCGACGAAAACCGCATGCGGGAGTTTTGGACGACCGTTTAACGCCTAATTATTTCACTGTTTTCATTGGATGAGGTTAAGGGATCGCGATGTAAACGATCGATGTACGAGGATAGGGATAGGTAGGAGGAATAATAAGAAATACTCACCTCTTCTGCAGCTGAATCTCCCGGGTAAGTCACACGAATACGTGGTATACATCATAGGACCTGGCACGAAAAGCACCTACGAGTAGCAACGCACCGAAGGTGCGAGCATGTCACCGCGATTTGCGCGTGTACGGACGACGGTGTGTCTTGAGTGTTTCGCAAGCGGATAAAGTTACGGCGGCAATAACGCGCGGTGTGAAGGCGTAACACAAAGTTCCGCTTCTTCTTTCTCTTGCCTGTGCACGTCTCGTCCTTCTTAGAACACGGTATCACTCTTTGCAGGTTTTTTCAATGACGTTCACGTCTTCGGTGGACGGCGTTCCTCGCGCGAGCAGCACCTACGAAATGTGTACAGATTAGCACCGCGCGCACCACCTGTCACTCGGATTCGATAGCACGGAACATGCGTCCTACTGATGTCACCCGGCGCTATCCCTCCCACCACCACACGCCAGTGAGCTCCGAATGTTTCATTCAACGCTCTCACGCGGAATTTCTAGGTACTATTACTGGCGAGAACGACTAACTTCATGGAGCTCACAGTTCGCGCGAACTTAACCTATATTTTTCTACAATTTCTAACCTCACTTTGTAGCTCACTCTTGGAGGTTACATAAAAACGTTTATTATTTCGAATAGTAGAATGGATACTCCAATGAATACCGAAAATGTGGACGAGAACGATCAGTATAAGGCGGTGATGTTGTTCGGTCGAGACATTAGAAAGATTCCTTGCTTCAAGAACAGCATGTTATACGGTATTTACAGCGGTTTCGCGACCGGCCTGGCTACCTTCATGTTCACGAGTCGCATACCTCTATCAACGAGCATGGCTTTAGGATCCTACATGGGTGTCTCCATGGTGTATTGGTGTTTTTGCCGATATAACTATGTGATGCAAAAATACGAGATGAACGACATACAATATGTCCTTCGGAACAAGTCAACTCCCAGCGAGCGGGAGGAAATCAACAAAGTCTTCCCGAAAGAAGAACCAAAATTAATCGACACTTAAGAAACTTACTTCAGCTTCTGGATGCTTTTCAAATTATTTGCAATAAGAGATGTATTGTGTGAGTGGTATCATTCAGAAAGAATAATATTTGATTGTGTAGAATAACACAATATAATGTTATATCTCTGAAGCCTTTTAACAATGTTTGGAACAAACTACATATTTATATATAATTAGTATATATAAATATACATAGTATAATTTAATTGGCTGGAATTCTTGATTCAATTGTATATACATGCAAAAGTACATTAACTTTATATCAAGAAATAAAAACTTATAGACTTCAAGATTGTAGATAGTAAATATACATATGTATACTTATAGGCTTCAAGATAGTTGTCATATAAATTGATTATTTTATGATTATGTTACACAATTGCATTGTACTGTATTAAAACTAAGAAATAAGCTTGTTATTTTCACTCAATGCAAACTTATGTGTACAAATTTTTTTACAATAAAATTGTTTTCTAAATAAACATTCATTTGTCCCTACATATACTCAACAAAGTAAATCTAATTATTGATTTTCGTTACCGACAAAAATAGTTAAAAGTGCAGAATTGTCTAAAATTTTTCAATTTGCATTATTAAAAATAAATTTGTATTCGAATTTAAGCAATTTAAAAAAAAAAATTTTTCGTAGATTTTATTTCGCGAGAATATAATACCTGATAAATACTGTTCTATATTTTTCTACTGTACCAACATTTGTATAAACTCAATTATCATGATTGTATTTCCATGTGAAGCGTAAACAATATGCGTCCTTTGAAGACTTCGAGTATGTGAGTGAAGACCTTCTAGCAGTATCGTGTTTTCGGAAGTGTGATTATAACGTACGCGGCTTAAGCGAAAATAAAATGCTCGAATTTCATAAAATAAACATTTTAAAAGTTATCAACGTATTTTAACATAATAATGAACAAAGTGAAAATTTACGTGCAATAAGAGATAGTAATAAAAGATTTCAAATAGCAATTATAATGTTGCAAAATGATACGTCTGACGAAGAAACGGATCTGCGTACGCCTCAAACATTTCTCAGGCCTTCTTACTATTGCCGAAACTCGTCAGGTATACTTCGAATTGTAAAAGGTGTTAATATTACTCATAATTCGAATATAATCTCATAACTAATATCCCCCTTAAGTTATGCGCAGTCCCACGTTTAGTCCGTGTTCTTCCATCTCGAGTTCCGTCGTACACGGACACTTTCCCGAGGAGTTACTCCGCGTCTGGGACCAATTGCCAGAGACGATACGTCTAGATCCCAGTATGTCGAGTTTTCAGAAAGAATATGATCGAATAGCGACAGCAAGGTGAGTAAGATAAGCGAGAGTGCGATAGTTCGCACGGCGAATGATAAAAACGTTCCTAATTATAGTGTTTTCAGATATCAGGATTTCGCAAAGAAAGATTGTTTAGCCGTAAGTGTGCCTATAGAATCCGCGGCATCAACGAGGTAAATTGTATTTTTTTTTATACGCTATTTGATTTAAATGTTAACAGTAACATTTAACGCGAAAGATTTTTGTCTAATTCGATTATTAAAAAAAGATAACGCGAAATGTTAATTTTTAAAGTAACTATGTGTGGTATCCTCGCAGCGCTCAAAATGAAAACAACGTCGAAGAAGACGGAAAAGATGACCAAGTGCAGGAGAAGCAGAAGCTGTTCTATCGCTATTCCAAATTAGTTGTACTCTGCTGTTGCTGGCTATTACTTACGGTAAGAAACCACCGTGAGATTTGTCATCGCATTTGTATCGATCTCTCTTTGTCACATCGTTCTTTTACAGGTGATACTGATGTTTAAGGGTGAAAAGATCGAGGCAATGCATCAGCTTTCCATTTCTAACGAAACAAAAAGTATCTTTCTAATCGTCAAAAAACTGAAAAAAAAAGAAAAAAAAATTCGCGTAAATCTTACCAGTATACATTTGTCTGAAATATCTTTAATAATGTCCAGATTACCAAGTCAGTGAGCATGTTATGAGCAAAATGATCAGCGTGACAGTGGAAGGATCATTGCTGCCGCCGGCCGAAAGTAAAAATAAGGAGTACGTGAATGTATCGACACGCTACTTAACGATATGGCTGGAGCTCCTGATGAATGAGAATTTTAACACCGATTTATTGCTCACTCGTGTCAATTCGGACGACTTAGAGGTATCCGCATCAAATCCAAATACTTTTCTTATTAAAAATTCTGTATACACTCACGTTTACGATGCGAGAACCAATCAAGCCAATCCTGAAACAGAAAGAGAAGAAACATGGTTAATTCTTTTAGCAAATTATTATATACTATGATTTAAATTGTTTGCTAGTTTCAGAAAATAAGCGATATATGGAACCTGCCTATATTGCCGGAAAGTTTGGAGAACATTTTCCCCAGTCAGAAATATCAAAGAACCTTCATGATAAAAGTCGACAGCGAGTACGTGCTTATTGTACTTTATTATTAGTATTTATCTCGCGGCTTTTAATTTTCTATTATCTACATTTAAAGCCACTTTACAAAACTACACTTTATAAAAAGGCTAAAATTTGTATAAAAGAACTGAATCTAATCCAAAACGAACACAGAACAATGAATGATTCAAACTTTATTTCACAGGACGCTATCACGCGGCATACTATTCATCAAATTGCATACGAATTCAGAGTCCAATCTTCCGCTGTCCATAACTTATGATCTATCTCCGATAAATTCCGATTCTAGCATAATGTACGCAGCTATCATACTGATTAGCTTGTACATAATGATTATTTTCGAGGTAATTATATGCGCGAACTAACACCATAAAAGATTTGCTTCAAATAAATGCTTCATTAAATTTAATCGGATTAGATGGTGCATAGAGCTTTGGCTGCCATGCTTGCGTCCACGATGTCTATCGCGATATTGGCAGCTTTGAACGAGGTATACATACATATATTCTTCTCGCTACATGTGACCGAATTTTTGAGATATTTTCAAGATATTTAAAGAAAAAGTATTTGTGTTTTAGCGGCCGAGTATGGAAGAATTGATTTCCTGGATAGACGTGGACACATTGCTGCTATTGTTTTCCATGATGGTGCTAGTCGCTATCATTGCCGAAACCGGTGTATTTGACTGGCTAGCCGTATACGCTTACAAGGTGAAATAAAGAGTATAACAATGTAAAATAAAACGTTCTCGATTAAAGCGACACGAAATGATTTCAACATCATTCTTACCAAACATTCTAAACTAAACTAAACTAAACTAACTTAAACTAAAAAGTCTATTAAAGAATCTACAAAACATTCACTATTGTTACTTTTAGATAACCGCTGGCAAACTGTGGCCGCTGATAATGGCCCTGTGCTTCTTTACCGCGTTTTTGTCGTCGATACTGGACAACGTGACGACTGTCTTGCTAATGACTCCGGTGACCATCAGACTGTGTGAGGTAATGCAGCTGAATCCAGTTCCGATTTTAACCGCGATGGTGGTTTACTCCAACATTGGAGGCGCTATGACGCCGATCGGCGATCCGCCGAATGTCATCATCGCTTCCAATCGAGACGTGAAAAACGCCGTGAGTGTAGTTAGCCAAAGCCACGCTCTGCTCAAGAATAACGAATAATTAAATGGTAATTGTTGCGGCAGGAAGTCGACTTTGGCACGTTCTCGCTGCACATGAGCATTGGAGTAATCCTGGTGTTGATCGTGGTCTCCGCGCAATTCCGCTACATCTTCCGAGATGGCACGGTTCTCAGATTCAACGAGCCGCAGGACGTGCAAGTATGGACATTGATATTGTGATTATAAGTTTGCTACAATTCAATTCGCGATACATCTGTAACTTAAATAAACTATAAATTATAGCAATCTACGGGATAAAAGAAAGAAATAGCATAAGTCTAAGAGAATGACGTAATAGTACAAAATAAATTTAATGTAGCTATCTGTAATTCAATAAACTTAATTATAACGAATCACGATTTTACGCACAATTGTCTAGGAATTGAGACACACAATCGCTATTTGGCAACGGGCGGCGGCGAGCTTATCCAACTACAGCAAGGACGAGAATATCGTGAGAGAGACGCTGTTGAAAAAAGTGCAACGTTTATTGTCGCAGCTGAAGAGGAAGTTAATGACGGGAAGCGTGGCGTTGGAGAAGTACAAGACTACGCTTGAAGAATTGCAGGAAAAGGTAAGCTGTGAACAATCGTACATATTACATCGTCGTGTTCCAATTATCTTGTCAGCGGTTATCTTGTGCATCTTCTTACAAATCTGTTTCTATTTCCAACTGTAGTATCCTATCAGGGACAAGGTGCTGTTGGTGAAATCCGGATTCGTGTTGGTCTTCGTGATCTCGCTCTTCTTCCTGCACAGCGTGCCTCAATTAAATTTGTCGCTAGGCTGGACCGCTCTGATCGGCGTCATGCTGCTGCTGATATTAGCCGACAGTGAGGACTTCGACGGCGTCATGGCGCGCGTCGAATGGAGCACCTTGCTGTTCTTCGCGTCGCTGTTTATTCTTATGGAGGTAATAATTTCGTACGAATAATCGCTGTGTCAATTTTAACACCGGTTCCTTCGAATCGCGCGCCGAGTCCTGTTGGAAAAATCTGATAGGAAAACTGAATTAAAAATCTTGCAGGCTCTCTCTCGTTTGGGACTGATCGCTTGGATCGGTAAACAAACCGAGAGCATCATTCTATCAGTCAATGAAGAGTCACGGTTAGCGGTTGCCATACTGCTGTTGCTCTGGGTGTCGGCTTTAGCGAGCGCCTTCGTCGACAACGTACCGCTTGCCACCATGATGGTGAGAATTGCGACAAATCTCGCGCAGAATCACGAGCTCGATCTGCCAATGCAACCCCTGGTTTGGGCTTTGACATTCGGTGCTTGCATGGGAGGTAAGAAGCTTCCAATGTATTCGAAAGCTGAAATAATCTGTAAAGTTCGCTTTAAGTACAAAATCACATTCAAAACTCGAGCTTTGTTATGACAATTCGCTTATCATCGCGTTAAAACAACAAAAGCCGTTAAAAGCTAACGCTTTCAAGTCGCACTGTGCAAAAAGCGCCAGCTTTTTTTAGTATTTACACGGCTGAGTAGTTAGACGAAAAGTTATGTTTAAAGGAAATGGAACTTTGATTGGAGCTACTGCCAACGTTGTTTGCATGGGGGTCGCGGAGCAACACGGCTACAAATTCAGTTTCATGCAATTCTTCAAGTAAGCAACACTGCGACGTATCATATACAGTTTCTCGTCACTATTCGTCATCGTAATCATAATTAATAATTATAATCGAAACTAAAGACTACAAACGGATCGTTATCTTAATGTACATTGCAGGGTGGGATTTCCTGTCATGATAACAAGTACCACGACAATAATGATATATCTGCTGATCGCCCACGTCGTCTTTGGCTGGAACGGAAAGTAAATACCGAAGATGTTTGGATGAGGATTGGTATAATGTACAAGAGAGACGATACATTTGTGTATACTCATAAAAGAACAATCTTTTAAGGGCAAAATTACGTAATAACATTATTGAATATAGTTTTCAAGAATATTACAGAAATTATATATAGACAGAGTTTGATTCGTGTAACGTGATGTAAGATCGCGAATATTTATTGTAATTTTTATGAAAACAGTTATTGTTTTAATATATACTTTTTATGCTTTGGCACATAATTATTGTAGCATAAAAAACTAAAGTTTCTCTCTTGAGAAAGGAGATCTCCTGTAATATACAAAATATATTATATTATTAAGTCTCACATACAATAAACATCATTTTCTCGAAACTTTAATTACTCGCCTTTAACTGTGAAACAATTATATACACTACCGCTCATTAATTTCAATACACCCCAGATTTGTTGATTTCTCTGTAAAGAATGAACGTGATACGTATATTTTGCACAGAAATGAGTCCACCTGCTGTTAAAAACACTTTCAGCACTCACATGCATCGTATTTAAACATTATTTATATAAAAATTTTTGAAAACTGTAGTTTTCGAAGAAACGAAATTAACAGCCGGATAATGTCAGATCCCTGGAAATAAACAAAATACGTGCGCAAGGTTACGAGGTTCTCGTAGTGATCAGATACACGCCCAATGCTGTTTTGAAACCCATTTATCAACACATACACAGTGAAAGGGCTCCGGTGTTCGCCTTGTACTGTGATACTGTGAAAACTTGTGAAAATGTGTAAAGTGGTCTCGTAAATGGCTCCCAAGAAGGAGTTATCAATCGAAAAGCGATCTGCCATAGTCGCTTTGAGAAATGCAGGACATAGTGTGCGTGAAATTGCTCGCCTGGAGAAGGTTTCTCTTGGTGGTGTGCAGTGTACCCTCAAGAGATTTGGATAGTGTATTAAATTAATGAGCGGTAGTGTATATATATATATATATATTTTACGACACGAGATAATATGACTATACAGGGTGTCTGTATAAATTGGCAGATCTTAATTGCAAAAGGGTTTAATGATCACATGAAATACATATACATGCTAGAGAATTCGTTGAAATATTTTTATTAAAAATGAGGCTCTCTGGAAAAAGAGAAAAAAAAATTCAATTCCTAAGATTGCCATTCGGCGGCAAGTATTCAAAATCAAATAATTTATCACAAACTTATACTTATTACTTCGTAATTACATGTATCATAATCCATAAATCATAATACAATCACATTTGGACCGAACTATATCAATATTCCTCGCAAAACCAATTTTCTAATAATTGACAATAAATTATTGTGATGCATCGTGAAAGCGAAATTTATTAAAACTTATTAAGATTGCTATTAATATAAGTATAAGCGTGAGCGTCCGCTGAACTCGTTTACGTCAAGCCAAATGCTATCTGAGAGTCGTATACATAGCATAAGGCGAAGAATTTTTTACAAGCGGTAAAAAAAATTGCTACAATTAAAATATTATTATATTTACAATAAACATCATATACTAATAATGTAATGTCTAGATAGAACGATGTTTCTGCTGTACTGTAATCTTGTCTAAGTACTACAGTTTCTGATGTGTCGATTGTTTTCCTTCCATTTGCATCGCAAAACTCTGTTCTCATAAATACATATAAATTAAATATTTTCAATTTTTAAGCTGTAAAATAAAATTAGGCAATTCTTATTTTGATTAGTCATTTAAAAAAATATTCAGAATGCTAAATGTTTAAAATTGTAAAAAAAAACTCGTTAAAACATTATCAACGTTGAAAAACTGTCAAGTGGACGTAAAAGTTTTCACAGGTATGGCGAAGAAAACGATCAGTTCGAAAAAAAAACTTATCTTAAACATGACTGGTCGATTTTACTACACAATTACACTGTGGATTATATTTGTATGATTCTGATTTTATGCGATTACACAATGTTTTCGTAAATCATGCTTTACGCTTCATCGGTACATGAATCGTAAACGAAAACCTGTATCTGCAAACCAACTTTGTAAACAAAAATTTCAGACACTTAGCGCAGTAAAGGCATCCTTCGAACTCGCGTAACTACCTGAGATATCTTATGTAGTTTCTTTTTTCAGTCGTTGAAAACGCACGGATTTCTATATAACACTGCTGGACTACTTAATACTCGAACGTACCGCCCGAAAACACACACGACTGAAAGCTAACTAACGAAGTGTACCCCAGTTCAGAGATCGATAAAACGTTGGAACATCCGATTAAAACAAACTGATGCGGATTCAACGGAATATATTATGTACATTAATTGTCATGAAGTGTGAAAACGTGTGAAACGAGGCGAAAACGAGAAGGGATAAAGATACACGACAGACGTAACTGGGATGAGATATGTAGTATCGCGTATATGTTTTTCCGAGCGGCGTAGCAGTCTTATATATTTGATATTCTCTAACGGTACAAAAAAAAAATGCACACATTCACATCAATGTAAGTTTGCACCGAAAACAATATCTAGGAATGTAATTAAACCACGGATTGTTAAATTGTCCCTTGAATATTTGCAGTATTCCCGACGTGTTATCAATGTACGAAAGAGAGGAAGGAAAACAGAAGAATCAAGTAGGGAAAGTAAGGGCTAATAAGAATCGAACATGGTTGTTGATGCATTAATAACTAAAGTTTTATTATTAGCTTTTATTTTTCCTACTTGATTCGAAATTGTCAGAACTTCGTTTCTCCTCGATTTTCGAAAAAAAAGCACTAGAGTTACATTCTAGATGTTGCTTTCGATGTTACTATCCCAAAGGAAACGATGGAAGAAGCAAGTCCTTATTATTAATTATTACAACAAACCATGCAGTATTATTAGCACTTGTGGAATGCCTGTCACGAGATTGGTTTGTATGTGTGTGCCGTGGCGCGCGTATGAAAAAGCATATGACACTCCTTCCATCTTTATCAGAAATACTTCATCGAGAAATAGCCACGCGCTTTATTTACACCTTTCGCGCAGTATGCGCGCGAGGTACGAGGAAAGATCCTGCAGATAAGAATAAGTACGGATTTATCTAGCTACGATTCTCTCGAAGTACACTAGCGCGCGTCACACGGACATGCCTCTGCATCGAGGAGCTTCTCCACGTGGCGAATTATGCTGTGATAGTAACACGCAAATAAGCTGCTGCAAAAAAATAATATCGTTACATATTCACCGGCGACGAGGTAACTAGGAGGTGTATTAGATGGCAAGCGTGTGTGCGGATAACAAATAAAATGTAACTTGCTTAAGAACTAATCGAGACTTAAAAGAGATCTAAGGTATCGTACAGGGTACTCTCGGGTGTTCTATTTCTGGCGGATATCATCCTGTATATCTATAAACAATATATAAAAGTTATTCGAAGAAATATATGTATATACAGCGCTTTCCATACACATTGGCGATTGATTGTGCACCTCTTACACATTTATTTACTGGAATAAAAAATTCTTAATGCGATGAAACATTTCGTTATGTAGGATATAATATCAAACACATATTTGGCTTGTTCACCAACGACTGTGTGTCAAATGACTAAGTGTACTTCAACCCTTGACACTCAAATCTGTTATCATTGACAATTTAGTGATTCAAAGATGGTGAAAAATAACAAAAATTTTGTTCAACATAAGTGTAACGTGATATTAACGCAATTATTAATTTACTATTTCTTTTATTATCGTCTCTACTAATAATTTTCATACATGAGAAATAATTTACTCTATATTTTAATAAATATATTTTTTGATGATTAATATGCATTTCTTAATGACTGTGTGTAGTATGATTAAATTTTACATCGTTGTATCACGGCACATTTGAGTGTGAAAAGGGTTAAAGATGATAAAAAACATCATGGGCATATATTTCTTTCATCACATTATGAGTACAGGGAACATATACAAGTTTCCAAGCATCATTTATTACGTGTACAGATCATCGATGCAAAAAATGTCTATCTTGAAAGATTTTAGTATGAATTATTTTATCAATATGATAAAATACCAAAATACTAAAAAAAAGGATTATATGCAATTATATAATATCAACTTCTAATCACACAAATTATATATCCTAATTACACAAATTATACAGATATATATTTGTATTTTAATTTATGGATAATTAAAAATTATTATCCATAAATTGAAATTTAACATCGTATTATTCGCGCAGCGAAAACAGCGTGATAATCTTTTAAAACAGACATTTCTTGTCACTGCAAAATATATGTAAAAAAAATTTAAGTGTAATGCAAAGATTTACCTTATGAATTACAGCTCATCTTATATAAAACTATAAGATTCCGTTTTCGAGCAATCCTTCTACAAAGCGTAGTACATTTGTAACAAATTTGCAATTACATTTACACGGTATGGCAACATAACTCGTTAGCTTGATAATTTCGGATCTGATAATCATCGTTTCTTTTTTTCTGGATGAAGTATCCCGTGACCTATATGTTTTTGCGTCATACATTCAGATATATACAATTTGTCTACAAAAAAAAACGTAATCGACCGATGAATATATTATCACATACTCATCAAACCATTAAAACCATCTCAATAGATTGGACTGAAAATGTAGTACTAATACTCATAAAAAGTTGTACTTTCTCTCATATATTGTCATGCTAAAAAAATTAAGACGCGTCGATTAAAACAAGCGCAAGAGACATCCGAATAACAGGTAATGCCACAAAGTGCTCTACAACGTATGCCTAATGTATTATTGCTCTTTGCACTTCTCAAAATGTTTCCGAAACGCTGTTTCCCTAGTCTAAAAACTCGTGTAAAAGTCGCTTGATATCGAAATTCAACCGAGCCAACATCGCAGCTCAGTAAAATACGCCTGTTTTCAAAAAACACGTCCTATTCGAAATTATTTCAGTGAAATTAAAACAAAAGGGATCTCGCATTCCCAATTCTTTCTCTCTCTCTCTTTCTCTCTCTCTCTCTCTCTCTCTCTCTCACTTTCTTTCTCATAAATTATCGTTTCGCATATTTGTGTCAAGACTTTGTAAAATAGTGATGCCTATACTACGGCGCGACGACTGTATTGTCATTAAAAAATATTATATTTTCACGTGGGTATATTTGGCAAGCATGCAACGTCGATCTGGAAGATCTTTTCTTTTTTTTCTTTTTTTCCTTTTCTGAGGAACGTCGAAATGAAAATCAGCCAAAACTAATGACAACTACGAGAGGACGGCTCGCAGTCTTTTCCAACGCGCCTCCCATTGATACTTATCCCGTGCGGGAGACGTCCAATCGAACGCAAACTCAGGACCGACTGTACTTTTGTTCGAGTAAGCAACGTTGCTGTGGCGGAAATCCGGATTAAAGCTAGCCAGGTCGACGGTGCTCAAAATTCGCACGGCGGACGAAAGTCGAGGCTTACTGGCTGGGGAACTAAATACCAGCTTGCGACTTTGCTTACTGTTGCTGCCGGTGTCTCCAATACTGCTACAATTATTACGATCGTTCTGTAACTGTTTTACTTTGCGGGAATACTCGGCGAGAAACGATTTCGCCATAGATCATTGCCGATACGTCTGCGGCGATATGCCGTTCCCCGGAGTCACGTAGTCACCGATCATCAGGCTGGGATTCACTGGATAATGAGAAGTGTTGCCGAGGACCAGCGATTGCTGGAAAGTAACACCAAGCTGTAGCGCGAAAGTCACGCAAGCAAACGTGTTGCTTTAGTCTCCGTCTCTCGCATCGTAAAACTTAATCAAGTACATAGCAAACTTGCGAGAATTTTCCGCAAGAGCGATCACTTTATGCTAATGGTTTTCCTTAACGCGTTAGACAGAATCAGTTCTCTGTTGCGTGGTAGCTCAACTGCGAAAATGCGAATGTTTGAACTGTACTTACAGTAGCAGGTGATGTAAACATATTCGGAGTTATTCCACCGCCTATCAACTGTGCCGCTTGAGTGCTCGTAGCTGTACCTCCCACTCGGCCTCGTCCCGTACTCGAGATAGAACCAGGATGAATATTTGGTTGTCCTCCTGTTACATAAAAATACATTTCTCATTAATTAAATTCATATATTTAAATTTACACGTACTTTAACTATTATTGATAAAGATTACAATTAACATACACGAAAAGGATCTTGAAATAAAGTACTTATCAAAATAATCTTAATAAAATGCAGTTTCCAAGTCTTAGAATAATAAATTCGTTGAATTTTCGCTTGGCTAAATCAAGATTATCACTTAGAAATAAATGTTCCAAAAAAATTGTAAGAGAGCAATCACAAGCATTATTAAAGATTATGTGAAACATGTATCTAAATATAAAATAAATTTAAGTACACTAAAGATTTATATAAACTGATATTAATCTATTGTTAGTGTTTAACGATAAAAAGAAATGATCTCATTCTCATATTAATTAAAATTTGATAGATACGATTTAATTGCGATTAAATAAATGCAATAACTATAACTTATATAACTTATATAAATATTGGGAGGAAAAAAAGATATAAGTTTTAATTTTTTAATGGGATTAGTATAGTTAAACATTTATAAATCCATACTACTAAAAACAAGTTTATTTACATGAGTCAGATTCTACAAAAATGTGTATAAATTAGGACGATTACAAGAAACTGTTTCTTCTTTGTACAAATGTCTTCCATGATGTAGAATAATAAAATATGAATCCACACTCTGTAAGTACTGTTACAATAAAAAGATCCAAACAATTGATCAATTATGTAATTAACAATTATATTAATACTGCAAGTAGAACAACATCAGCATATATAAATCAAAAGTGACTATTCAGTATTCTTCTGTCAAACAATTCAATGCCAAAATTGCAATTTCAATTATTATCCATCGGAATTTTTGTAATTCTTTATGTGTAAAGAAAGAAAATATTTCTATCCTATCTAATAACAGCCTTCAAAGCACTCTTATAATACTACATAAAAAGTTTAATAAAATGCTACATTTCATGCTAATTTTTTTAACTGTACATTTACATGGAAGGAGTCATTAAGATAATAGAAGACTAATGAAATAGAGAGAAGTCTTTGGTAAAAGGAACATACATATTGTACCACAATATGTTATGTAAAATGTGCTATGGCTTATAATAGACTACAGAAAATAGTAAATGAAGAAAATACATTTTTGTTTTAAGCAACACTAAAATTCGAGAAACTTCTTAAATTGTAAAGACGATCGTTTATTACTACTATTTTGAGTATTCTGTGTTTTAAATATATGGCGAGTACATAGAATGGCCGAGAGAATTACTCAATGACTATAGTCGGCACCCTTCATATATTTTGAGACACTAGACTTCATAAATACGTTTTGTACGAAATTAATCGAAACATTGAAGAATTAAAATTTCCAAAATGCATGTGGCAAGAACGTCGATTACAATATTATATATCGCACACGGCACGTTTAATACATGTAATGGTACACTGAAGAGTCAAACCAAACCTTACCTATTGCCAGCAAATTATTTGGATTTACAGCCGCACTTGTGTCCATCGAAACTTCGCCGAGGCCATTAACCGACATTCCATTCACCATGTTCACAGCTTGTCGGGCGCCTTGTGCATCGAGAGTTGTCCAATAGGATTCACTAGGCGAGGTGTTGTTCAAACCAGGAGGTGGTTGCGCCGCAGCACCCGTGTATCGGAAGTAAGGATTCTTCAAGTCTAAGGTATTGCTACTGCTGTCCATATTAGTTCCTTCGAGCTTCAATTCTATTGTTACATCGTAGGATTGTCTGCAATAAACATATCGATATATAATAACGACAAATTTATAACTCAGCTTAACATTGCAGTTCTATCTTTGGAGAGCTGCAGCTGAGATTAGAGGTGGAGATATTTACCTTTTATTTGCTATAAGAATGACTTTCCCAGAGAGCAGCTGTCCACTTTTACAGAATAACGGATTCTCCAGGAGGCAACGCACTTGATACCAGTGTGTGAGAGGTTCTGTAGGAGCTGTGCTTAACCATACTTGTTGCGTCGATCCGATAAATGCTACATCGAACCAAAAAGCTAGACCATGGCATGTACCACTCTCCAGTATATGAAAATCGACATCTATTTCTGAAAGATACATATGAATATTAGCAATTATAGCAATTTCTTCAGCCGTATTGCAATATCTCTCATTTCATACCTATTTTATGTAAATCAGTCTCATCAGCTGTTTGGAAGTCTACTATGTGCCTCACCGATTTTGCCATACATATTCTAATATCAAAAGTATCGACAATCGGCTGCCTAAAGTATTCTTTAATGGCGTTATTTCTCATAGCAGAAAGATCTACTCCATGGAAACATGTTTGATACCAAAAATTTGCCTTATTAAACTGTTCCATGTAAAGATTTTCATCGGAAAATGGTGCGATATGCAGATCACCTCTAGAAGGAAACATTCTTCCACCTGTGCATAAAATAACTTAATAGAAAACAAATAAGGATAGAAATGAAGCATAAATCATGAATGTTTTTCAGATATTTACCTGGAACTAACCACTTTTTCGCATGCAAATAAGTTTCGAGCATTCTTTCATTATATAACATGTATCCCATAGGCTCGCTTACTATACAGTCCACACGTTCTGGTAAATCAATCTCCTCTATTTTTCCAGCTATGACTATTATTTTATCCGATAAATTATTAGCTGCAACTAATAGCTCGGCATGGTTTGCCATATTGCTTGCTTCCACTGCATATACTTTCTTTGCACCAGCTTGGATAGCGAAGAATGATAATATACCAGAACCAGCACCTACATCCAAAACAACTTTATCTTTGAAATCAGATAAATTTCCAAGAATTGCCCGTTGGTATGTACTAGTTCTAATGTAATCTTGCATCATGTTTTGTTGTTGCGAGAGATATCCATAAAATTGGAAATATTGCATCGCTGAGGATTCTTCTGTTCTTTCATTAAATGCTGACACGCCTTTTCCCATTTTGAGTTTCAGTATGTGCGAGTGAAAGTTGCGAAAATCTATGGATTAAATATATCTGTTAAAACTATATTTCTTATACATGTTGTCTTATGCTTTTATTGAGAAACATATAATTAAAATATTTTCATCACTTAAGAAATCATGTAACATGAAACAAGAGACTGTTCATAAAGACAGCTGCAAGAAAGATTATCAACTTACCTGTTTCATTATCAAATGTAAGTAGTAAACTATCTGTATCAAGTGTAAAAACATAACTCCGAGATGATACACGAGAACATTCAGTACTAGGAGTCACTGGAAATTCCAACAGAGTTGTTTTATCCCTGTTAAGATCTCCTAAAAAGAATGTTGAAAGTATTAAATAAAGTAAAGTACAAAAGATATAATTACATAACATAAAAATAGTTTTAAAACTCATCTGAACATATGCCTGTCATTAAATCTATAGTTGCGCAGAGATCAATGATTTCCTATATTTTAAATATCATCCTACTCTCTTAAAGAATATTAACAAGAATATTGACTCTTCTTGTATATTAAGCATAATAGCATCAGTATCTTGTAATATACAAATGATAGAACTTGACCCATTCTCAGTATTTCTACTGTCAATACAACAACAAATAAATACAACACGCCATACTAATAAATATAACGGTGGCCGAAAATTGTCAATAAAAGAATAAAGATGAGTTGGGAAAATCGTTTGTCGTTTGTTATGAATGACAACGACGCTGGATGATATCGGACCGGCGATCGACCGCGAAAACTGGGGATGCCGGGGCGATTTCACCGGGAGAAGAAAAGAGGAATATCAATGCGGCGCGGCACGACGAGAAGTGTGGTTATGTTGTCCAGGTCAGACAATCGGTCGCGTGATCGATCAGCCGCGTCGTCGTCGCACCGCGTCGTCGTCGCACCGCGTCGTCAGACAGCCACGCGAACCGAGGTGGCGAGCGCGAAAACGATGCGTGCGAACACCGCTGGATTGCGTGTCCTCCGTACCTGAGACGAGCTCGACGCTGAGGCCCTGCGGGTCGTAATTGATATTGAGCGTAACTGGTTTGTTGTACTTCGGCGTAGACTGTCCATTGTTTGACAGAGCTGAAACCGCCACCGCGCGAAACGTCTTCGCCATTTTTCGCCACACCGCGTGCTAGCGCTTCCCGACGCGGTCTCTCTCTCCTCTTCTCTATTCTTCCACCACCACCGCCTCTCCTCTCCTCCTCTCCGCACCTCCGTCTGCCGGTGGCTCGGTAATGCTCTGCGTTACGTTGCTCCTGTATCGTGTGTCTCCCGCCGCAGCACTCGCGTGAGAAACAAAAGCGTGCCGCCGTCGCTGCCGCCGCACGTTCTGCGTACGGACACCTCGTATAGGAGAGACCAACCCCCGGCCAGGGCCGTGTGCTGTGAAATCGCACGATCCCCGCCGTTCGCGCACCGGACGTCGCGACGACTCGCTTGCGGCGCCGTCGCCACCTCCGCGCTGCACCCTAGCACAGACCCTAGGCTCACCGGATACGTGGACGTGCGAATTCTGCCATGGCTGCTGATTGGCCACAGCCACCGTGTCCGTCATCTACGACCTTTACGATGTTTAAACTGATCTTCGCCGATTTGGCGCACATTCGCGCCAGTCAGGACTGTAGTAAAGTCTGATAAAGTATGCTAGGGACGCTAGAGTGCAAGGAAAGAACGAAAGTATTGAGGGGAAAATTTTCGAAATTCTTTTAGTTTTCTGCGAAATTGAATCCCGTTTTTAATAGTTGCTTTCACACTTTCACTTTCTGATTGTAATAATAATACCGTGGCATTTAACGTAATAAAATATTCTATATATTGTTTCATGTTTTTTCAAAGTTGCATTTTGTTGTCTTAAAAATTGGCGATTGGACATTTATATATATATAAATTGTTCGAGACACAAAGTGTTTATATGAACAATCTACATTTGTCTCAAAAATAATTATATACGATTTTTATAATATTTTTCAAAGTTAATTCTTAATTCAAATTGTATTCCAAATTCAAAATTGAATGCGATATATTTTTCTGATAATTACTGTAACACTTAAAATCTGATTGTAATAATGATATCGCTCATTTGAATTTATTTATTACACATATGTACATTTTATGTACTCGTGCCTCTTAAAATAACAATTTCGTCAAAATTCACGAAGACAATCTTTTTTTTTTCAAAACATTTATCATTTAATGCTTTAGAATTTAAAAATCCGTTGGCATGGATCGTAAACCATTTAAATGGTTCGTAAAATATTAATAAAAATAATTTATCTGTATCTCAAAAGAATAATTGAACAATTTTCATTATATCTTTCGTTGTTGTATTCTAAAAATTGCATTCCGAATTAAACTTTAAAAATATGTCTTCATATGTTATTTTTACAATTTACCTTGCAATAAATTTATCTCTGAAAAATTCAAGGCGTAATCATACAATCTATTCCACAAATCGATGAACTATTTATATTTGTCACAGAATAATTATACACGATTTCTCTCTCAATTATTTTGAATTATATTCTCGAATCAAATATAAAGTGCAATATGCTGTTTCTGTAGTTTGTTGTGTGATAATTATCGCTGAAAAATTCAATGCGGAATTTTTGCATCATAGCATCTGCTCGAAATTAGTTCAGATAAACAACACCATATATAAATGAATATATGAAAGAGTTCGTTATCAAACAATGTCATCGTCATTAGTAATATCATCACTGCATCTGTGCATATAAATTATAGATAACCGCAATTATATATACAGAATTCGCAGAAAACGCGATAGTGATGAAATGAGTTGCAATTATCAGTGCATTCATCCACAGAACACAATGTGCCACATTGATAAATCACGAAAATCATCAATGCTTGTGTGTTGTTGTTGATTAAACTTTCTGAAGTCGTTCATGCGTGAAGTTGCGGCTTGTTTAGTCGAACTGGTTTATTAAAGCGGAGACATTTGAATCCAGATAGTCCTTATCAACTACGAGGTTTAGAATAAACGTTGTGGACACAGAGAATCGTTAATAATGTTATTCAGCACATTGATCTACTCCACTTTCGTAATATTGATACAACGGAGTTCGCCGATGACCAGAGCTATGATACTATCGATTTATGTACAAATGGAAGTAATTTAGAAACTCACATATCTCATCAATAAAAGAACTATTCGAACGAGATAACGAATATAATATCGAAAGTTGTATTTATCTACATCATTAAATGTGAGACCTTTAATCCATGAATTTGGACATAGCTTTCTAATGAAAATTTGCAAAAATTCGAACAACGACAAAATGATTTCGATTAATGCAATTTATACACCGTCGAAAAAATCTTCACATTTTTCTAAATATTACATGAAAAGGAAAAAAAGTTAAAGCATCATAAAAAGTAATATTAAGAGAATCTCGAATATCTAAGCAGCAAATCTCATCTGCACCCAAGAATTAATAGGTTTCGCAAAATTAATCGAGAAGTTCGCATGACGCTGAACTCATTCAACGATCAACTATTAAAAATTTTTATTCTGATATTATCATTTCAGCCTGATGCAATATTTATTCAAGGAATTCTATAAAGATTTTAAAAATACACTTCTAATTCCAACCCGTGCTATTTCAAGTGGCCGGAGAGTTTTGCGGAGGATTGCCACAAAAAAATCTCCACTCGAGCGTCTTCACCTCGATATATAGGGTAGCAAGGGTTGAAGTAAAGCGACCGTAAAACGGCAAAGGGTCAGAGCAGCAGCTCTTTCGATCAGCCAGCTGCGTGAACGGGTGGCCGAATGTCGGACGCGCGCGCCCGTGTGCGTGTTTGTGTGTACATGTATCTGTACGATATCTGTATGCATGTATGCAATGCATATCTCACCGGCTGCGCGGCGCCGAGCGTCGCGACGCCTGCGTTGCCAGGGTACATGCGCGAATTTCGCGTGCCGCAGCATGGGTCGAGCGGTGACGGTGGCGGCGACGTCGGCGGCGGATTTGCCCCCGCTTTTTCCGGACACAGCAGCAGTAGCGTTCCCGTAGCGCTTTCCTCCGCAGTGTGCTGGCTACCGCGACTGCCGATCGACGGCTGGCCTCGACGCAAAAGGTGGACGGCGGGACACCCTCGTTACTATGGTGAGTACCGCAGTGCCGTCGTCGATTGAGGATGTTGGTTGATGCCGAGCGAGCTCGCCGGGAATGCGCGAAACGCTCGCCGAGTGCGAATTGCGATCGCGCGACTTACGTCAGACTACGCTCGCCGGAATCGACGAACATCCCCTCCGTGCATCCCTTTCACCACGAGGCTCCATTTTTTTTTTCTTTCTTCGGAACGAGCACTCGCGACGCGAAAGAGCCTCGGTATTCAAATGCGGAGTTCCGCGATTTTATTCATGCATAACGATGGAGCGCACCAGCTGTCCTACGAACGGACCGATGTGGAGCGCGAGATTAAGCCGAAAAACATCTGCTCGCGATTTAACGACGTGGTGCATTGCACCGTGGGCTCTTCGCGCGTTGCATTTTGCAGAAGACAAAGCGCGGTATTATTCATCGCGCTTCGCGTACACCGCAAAAATGCGGACGCACAATATCGCGCTGGATGTCATTTCGCGAACTGTCAATTGCGCGGTCGTATTTAGCGCCGTGTATTATTTCGAGCGTGTATTTTTTTAACATAAAGATCAAGTTTTAACATTGCGTCGTATATCGAGAGTCGTAAGATTGCATTTAATGTCAGACATCTAATTCTTGCGGATTCGGATGGAAATTTATATTTTCTCAAAATTTTATATCTCTGGGAAGCTCTGCGCGTTTCTCGTAAAAGCATAAGAGGAATTACGAGCAAGCATTAAGAGAAAAAGAGAGAAAAAAAGAGACAGGAGAGCCATGCTGACATCTTGCGCTCCGGGATTACTCTGACTGATTACTCTGACAGATTACCGGGTTTAATCTGGATTAATGACCCGATGGCTTAACCTCAACCACCGTTATCGAACTGCGCTTCGGTTAAATATTTGCATCGTCCGAGCCGAGGGAGACACGCGACGCGGAAACAGTAGGACAATAACCGGCGCGTTTGGCCACCGCGTTTGGACACCGCGTTCGGATGAATGCGTTCGGCGCCCTTAATATTTATCCAAATCTCGCATTTGCACACCCCCGTGCATCCCGTAGTGAATGGTCTTCGACCGCGCGACCGTGGCGCTACCTTCGCGCCGAGCCGATAAAAGAGAGAGAGAGAGAGAGAGAGAGAGAGAGAGAGAGAGGGA